TCTCCCCCCTCTTACTAGTCAGAGGGGGCTGGCCGTTTCATTTTAGAGCCGCCGGACCGGGTGGCAGCCTCGCCGGTCCGGCGGCATTCCGCTCACTAACACTGAAGAAGAAGGAGGAGGAGGAGCATGTGTCTGTCATGCTCCTTTGCGGTTCCCACATCCTGTGCTGGGAATTGTGGGAACCGCAGGGAGCATGACAGACACATGCCTCCTCCTTCCTCTTCAGTGTTAGTGAGCGGAATGCCGCCGGACCGGCGAGGCTGCCACCCGGTCCGGCGGCTCTAACATGAAACGGCCGGCCCCCTCACAGTGTGCCACCGGACCGGCCACCCGGTGGCACCTGCAGTCCCCCCCCAATCCAGCCCTGCCGCCGGGCCCCCTGAAGGCGGCCCTGGCGGCGGGCCCCCCTCCCGGCCGGGCCCTCGGACCGTGTCCGAAGTGCCCGACCGGTCAGTCCGCCCCTGACAGCAGCTACACTTTCCCTCCTCTCACTAAGCATGCAGCTTGAGAATGAATGTAAAATGGATGCTGTCCAGGAGGTGGGAGGGTCTGCTAGGGAGGGTGTGCTGCTAATTGGCTGGAATGTGTCTGCTGACTGTGAGGTACAGGGTCAAAGTTTACTCAATGATGACAAATAGGGGGCGGATCGAACCGCGCATATGTTCGCCCGCCGTGGCGAACGCGAACATGCTATGTTCGCCAGGAACTATTCGCCAGCGCATCACTAGTAGCTAGGGTAAGAAAGCTCTATGTAGTAGATGTTGCAGGATACTTTATTCAGACTTAATTTTTCAAGCTGTGTGCATTATTATCCTCCAAAATACTTCTAAGCATGGCACCATTTTATTTATATTACAGTGTCACACCTACTACATATTATTAAATTCATATGTGTTGTCCTATGGTGATTATTCCTAAATATTTAGGAAGCATTGTGATAAAAAAAACTGACTAAAAACAAAAAAGCAAATATATTCTTAATTCCACATGTTTGCAGTGCATTCCATGTTTAAAATAAATGTTATATTTAAAATGTTTCTTTGTAAAATGGTAATGAAAGGAGTAATAGGCTAAGTGAACAAAAATACTTAGTTTATACGTGTATGTGTGAAGCAAGAATCTTGTTGAGCCTAGAGTTCTAACTAAAAATAAAAAGGATAGTTTGTGAATTGAGATAAAAGCATTCACCATTTGCTGCAGCTCTTCTACAAAATCAAAATGGCTGCTCCTGCTGGAGGCGAGAGACACTACACTTTGTAGGTCATTAAGTATAATTCCATTATCGCATATGGATGTCTGACTTTGATTTAGTATAAGAAGTTATCCACCTGTACCATCTTACTTAACAGTGACAGACATGTTAAATATTTTAACTGGATAATTCCATGATGTGTCATTCTCGCCAAGTAAACCAGTCATCAGGCACATATTCTCAGAGTCAGCACAATATTATTTACACCTACTTTAAATAGAACAAAAAAACAACTATTTTTTTTCAGCTTGAGAGGGAGAGAGCAAGTATACGGCATAAAAAGGATTGTATTTTAAAATCTCCATACTAATGTGGTGAACAAGTCTCTCCATGGCCACTCAGGTCATATCGCTAGTACATTTTGTTCCTGTTTGCAAGACATGCAAGAATTTTCCATCTTCTAAAACCTTATTTTTTCTTTTCCATTATTATTTTTTTAAACAAGCATAAAATAGAATTTATTTACATAAAGCAATGATCCATGAAGGTTACCATAACATCAAGGGATCATATTAGCCGCTTGAATGAAATTCATTAGAAATTAACTACCACTTAAATTAATTTTCCCACATTCACAAGGTTGTAATGGTGAAAAAAGGAACCGTTCATCAGTGTGTACTGACAGGAGACCTGTCATAGCATTTATTTATAGGTGAATACATTAACCCATAGTGCAAGTGTTGCACTCTTCCGAAACGGCAACCTTTCTCATGGAAATCTCTCTTCAAAGAAATCATTATTTGCTGTAGGGTTTTTTTTTTCTCAGTTTTGTTTGTTCAACTCTCCATACGACATTTATTAAACAGGCCACAATATTGCATTATTTCATTTTGACTTGGTTTTCCAAATCCAGCCCCTAAACGGTGCGGTTGCTAGAATTGTTTTGCTGCAAAACAGTACCACCTTGTTAAAAAAACAATAGAAGCTTGTTGAATAATGGAAGAACAAAAGACATGTTGGAGATATGTTCATGCCTGCTTGCATAACTACACTAAGTTATTATCATTATTACTTATTTTTATTATTATTCATAATAATAGCACCAGTATATTCTGTAGTGCAGTACAACTGATAACAAACATAAGAAGGTAAAACAAAATGTGAAAAGGACCCACCTCAAAAGAGCTTACAGTCTAAGGGGATAGAAAAAATTCCAGTGACTTTTAAAGCAATTTTGTTTACTAAAGAGAAATTGTATAAACTAGTACCCAGAAATACAGTTTGTGACGGATCCATCTGTATAACCTGGGATTGCTGGTTCGTCTGTTTTGCCGTTTTCGTGGAATTACTCATTCGTATGCCTCTGTTCGTATAATTGATGTTTTTTGCGAACAAAACTACCGAACGGACGGCCACCCAGAAGAGAAGTGTGCTGCTGGTTAACCTCTTGATCCCAATTAGAACATTGTGGTTAACCGCAGACACTTCTCAATTAAAACCGAATACAGGGTGGTCGTCGTTCGTATGTCGACCACGAGGCGTCGGCCATTTTAAACCATGCGAAAGACAAGCAGGGTTCGGCTTTGATTTCATGGAACTGAAAACTGACACTTTTTCTGCCGAACACCGCTGAAGCTGCAGACCTCCCTTCTCAATCGACAGAAGTACACGAACACCGGCCGTTCGGGAGTTTGAAACGCTCGAATGGACTTAACCCAGATAGCCTTCCCATGGAGTCAATCGCATACCGAAAGACTGTAATAGACTTTGACTCCATGGCGAATGAACTATACGTATGGGATCTGAGCATTATTCGCCAATAATATGCACTCAGATCCAGGCTGGGGATATGTGATACGAATGGGAAATGTTCGACAATTATAAAGTTATATATTTTTATGTGTTTTTTGTGTTGAATTTAAAATGGCGATTTGCCTCTGTCCTGGAGATAATTTAATTACTTCTCAATTATCTCCAGGGCAGAGCGGAGGAAATCATAATGCATGCTGGGAATATTCTGTGTCTGTGGGTCCTAACCTGCCATATGTCTGTCTATTGTTACAGTCTCCCATTTGGTCCCCTAGGGGAGTGTCCACCAAGTGGGAGACCTGCATAAATAAGGGCAGGTAGCCCACAGTAAAGCCAGTTCATGTTTTACCTTTAATGCGGAGCTTGGTCTCTTTATTGGGGGGGATTTATTACTGACGACTAGAGACTGCCGGATGGGTTTATTAGCCGCTTGGGAGATATATGCGTTCGGCTACTATTGGCGATTCGTGAGTTTGGAGCTTGTGAAGTGAAGTGCCCGTACAGGTCCCATTCATGAGATTACAGCGTTCCCCTGCTTGCGGTTCGTATGATTGCACTTGATACGAATGAAGCCTGTGTTATTCCAAGAGGGGAGGATTCACTAAATGGCGGTTTGTACATTTGTTGCTGAGGGTACCGTAACACAGTTCATGTTGAGATCAAAACAATTATGAATAAGATTAAAGTGATAATCAGAAAACAGGATAGCACCATACTACAGGTATCAGATTTCTCGGAATCAAACAATACATCTATTTGATTGCTGTATAATGTCTAGATGAAATATACAATATAAAGCACAATGCACCAAAATTAAAATGGCACTTTTTTTTTTTTCAGTTTTATTTTCTGTAAGACACCGTAGGCACTGTATCTGCTTCATCTCATTAAACTGGTTATAGTATCTGGAGTCCCCTGGTACCATCATTTCTTTCAGCATTAAACAGTTTTTAATGTTGTAATGTTTTAATGCTAAACAAGAGTCCACGGCAGTCCATCCCCACTGTGCTGCTTTGGCTAATAAGGAAGTATTACCCTGAGAGGCAATGGGCAGCTGTGATTGGCTGAGTGTGTCAGCTGTCTGCTTTTAACCTGTCAGAGCTCCAACTGACGGTATGAATGGGTATGACAACAAGGAAGTGTGTAATCTCTGCCTTAGCTACACATACAGAAGGGGCCGGACCGTGGGTGGCCAGGGACTCTTATTTTGTGGCATACTGCACAAACATGGTGCAACACTGAATGGAGGGACAGTGCCAGGCCACCCCAGGCACTATAACCAATTCAAAGAGACAAAGTGGTTATAGTGACTACAGTGTCCCTGTAATGTTCTTTCTATCTTAATGATTACACACCTGTTCTTGCTGCTTGCCTTTATCTCCCATGATGCTTTACCAGTTGTGGATTTACCATTTGCACATCCTTGCTACGGGGTTATATTTGTGTTGGCATGCTTTTGTGTAGAGTATGTGTGTAAAAAAGTTTGTGTTTTTGTTTCTATTGTTCGTTTGAAGTCAGGAGTGTAGTGGTGTTATGTTTTGGTGTTTTGATGCTGGCCTGCATTTGTTTGTAATACAAGTGTTTGCTTGCAGAGTGAGTTTGAATGCAGTGTTGGTGTTTGAATACCATAGTGTAGGCACTGGAATGCTGGGGGTATGTTTATGTAGTATTAATTTTTGAATACAGGGGACAGGGTATGTTTGTGTGTAGTGTTCGTGTTTGAATGTGGGGGAAGGGGGGCTATAGGATTGGCATTTGAATGCAAGTTTGTGTATAGTGTTGGAATGCAGGGTCTATTTTAGTGTTACTTTTGTAATGCAGTTGTATGTTTGTGTGTGTAACGTTGGTGTTTTGATGCAGAAGTATGTTTGTGTGTAGTGTTGGTCTTTGTATGCAGACATGTATTTACAGTTACAAATATATTTCCTTACACATAATATGTACATGCACATTACCATAAACACTGCCACACACAGGTGCACAGAGACATATACACACTGATTCAGTTCAAGGGATGCACACACATACTAAAGCATATACTGTACAAAGATTCACTGACACATACACATGCACATATCCACAAACTTTAACACATGCGCCCTGATACACACACTGAAGCACAAACATAAATACAACCTTACTCTGAGTCCAGCTCTCCCTCCACTTTAAATGTATTCTCTGGTCCCTAAATAACTCTTTTGATGTGGGAACTCTCAGAGGTACC